TGTCTATCCAAAGATGAACTGGTGTTGAAGGAGAACATCAGTGTAGAAAGAGCAACTCTGTTTGCCTGATTACAAATTCAGGCTGTTCTCCTTCTATTAAGTCTGTTGTCTTTGAGACTTGGGGTTGGAATGTTGGTTATTCAAAGAATGTGCTCCCAATCTAATCATTGTTTCCTGCTTCATTTCCAATCCCACCATGTCTTCCTCATTGATATTTCCAACTTTGGGCTTCCACTCTCCACCCACAAGCAGCACTTTTTGCTTGCACGTTAGATGGATTTCTTTTTCCTCAAATCATGATAGAATTTGACTACTGTGCAAGTGTCATGCCTAGCCCAAGGAACTCCAGGAGACAGTGTATATTCAGTCCAGCAAGGTTTATTAGCTACAACCTATCAACAAGAATCTTTCCAGAATGAAATCATTTCCTAAGCTCAGTCAGTTCCCACCGATGGAATTTCTTAGGGAGGTGCCAATCTCCTACGCTTATCTCTTCCCTGCTTTTCCGGAGATGAGACACATTCTTTACTCCCCTCCCACCATTCCAGTCCATCACATCACCCCTCCCTCCACCTTCATCCTCCCCCTCGGAGTTCTCAGCAGAACTTGGCAAAGGCGGGAGAGATGACATGTCAGGAGAGGATGGTCTCACAGCACCTGCTGCCTCCTCCATACATTCTTCCGCTGGTTCCTGAAAAACATCTACAACATTAGTAGAATTAGCCCCCCTCCCTCCTACCATCTGCGAACCTGAAGTAGAAGGCTGTGGGCTGTCAGCTCGAGTCTGCTCCTCCCCCACATCCCCCACCTTCCTCCAGCGTGCTGCCCCCTCCTCCTCCTTGCTGATTAACTGCTAATGTTCCAGGCAGCGCTCGAGGCTTGGCTTGCTAGGGAAACGCCTATGGAAGTCAATGACCAGCTCCGGGCATGAACATTCTTTGCATTTTCCCAAGAACGGTCTGCTTCAGGGTAACCCTTCCAGTGAACCAAATATTGAATTCCTTTTCCTCTCCTGCGAGAGTCCAAAATTGTCTCCACCTCATATTCCTCTTCCCCTTCAACCACAACCGGAGGGGGTGGGGAAGAGTGCATTTTCAGTGGACTTGGTGGAGCTTCTTTCACTAACAATGAGCGGTAAAAAACCGGATGAACCTTCATAGATGAGGGCAGCTGCAATTGAAATGCTAAGTTATTCACCTTCTGCAAGACTTTGTATGGTCCAACGAACCAGTCATTCAATTTTCTGGATGGTCTGTTGGAAACTAAAAACTTAGTAGATAACCATACTTTGTCCCCCACTGAAATCAATGGATCTACCTGCCTGCGGGTATCAACATTCCTCTTGTACGCCTCTTTCGCCCTTGCTAAGTGATCTCGCAACAGTTGCTGAGCTGCTTGCTGTTCTATGGAATTTCTTAGGGAGGTGCCAGTCTCCTCTGCTTACCTCTTCCTCGCTCCTCTAGAGATGAGAGCACATTCTTTACTCCCCTCCCACCATTCCAGTCCATCACAATAACTGACCACCTCCTTCTTCCTCCCACTTCCTCACCTCTACTTCAGCCCCAGCGCTCCCACTACCACCACCACCGAGGAGTGCCACTGTGCAGGGCGGCCAAAAGGGCGGGGGAGGGAAGATGGGGAGGGAGTTGAAGCACCCCTGCAGTCGTAAGTGTAGGTGGGCTGCCTGGCACCTGAATTTTGATCATGTGACAAAATCTGCACACAACATAACTTCAGGGACTGAGCATAAGTGCCATTTGTTCAAAGCTGCCATAACTTTGAACAGTGTCTGAATGAATGGTTGTTAATCAAGGACTAGCTGCATAACAATATTCTCCTTCGGTCCACAACTTCTCATTCTAGACCAGCCGGTGGGACTGAACAGTGGACGGCAACTGCTTGTGATGTTCTCACATCTTACTTAACTGGAGCTGTTGTCAACTTAATAATACAGGTTTGTACTGGCAAACCTCCAATTATTTAGTGTAGATTTTCTTTCAGGGACCATTATTCAACTAAAAGTATAAGATATTATCATGTGATACTACATATTGGATGCTATGCAGATTTTAGCTGGATTGGGATTTGTTATGTTACTTTTTATCCCATACCTGTTTCTGATCAGGACAAAGAGAAAATGACAAATCATCCATGCATTCATTTTAAATGAAGATAATTCTGTGTACACTTTGATAGTACTTTGACTTGATAGGAGCAAAGCATAAGTCAGAGGTTCCTTTGGCTGTATAGATCTCCTCTCCCCTGTCCTCCCAGAAATGTGATAGGCTCTCAATCAACTCGAAAGAACAGTTGATTTATTGGCAGACCTTTTTTTTTACATTAAATTCATAATTTATAAAACAAAATCCACTGTTTCTGAAACAGTCCAGAAATAATGCAGTTTACATAATTTATATCAGCTTATGTCATTTGTGTAATTGTGTCATTTGTATAATGACTTAACTATGCAGGTAATGTAAATTGGTCAGAGGAGATCAGTTATGTAAATATAAAGAGTTATCTCAATTTTATCAATTCAGATTTAATAGACAACTCTTCCCCCCAGGTTTTCTGTAAATCAAGATTTTACTGTATTTGGCATTTATTCAGCAAGAGCAACATTTAGGCTAGTTTTGTTTCCAAGCAATGATACTCTTTAGGTAATGCCCATGATATTTTGGTGATCTGTCAGGATTCCCTGCTGAGAACACAAACTGTTTGAGATTAGAAGATAATATTGTAAACTTCAAAGTGCTGTAACTCTATTTAAGACGGTTTAAATGAGGGTTTATTTGAGCCAAGTTCTGCACTTTGCTTTTAAACAGTATGCCAAGTACTGTGCTCCAAAATGTGAGCAAACCCGGGAAAAATTGATTTATCTAAGTTAATTCAGTATTATTAATATGATTATTTCCCACATATTTGTTTCCCCATCCACCATACCAAAAAATTCAGTTTGTCAGCAGCATTTGGAGAAGCTGTGTAGGCATCCACATTTCTAGGAGCAGAAGGTGGCCTTAGCTTCTCAGGTTGCACATTTCTGGTTTGAATCTTACTTGTTGATGAATGGAAACATCTTAAAATGAAAATATTTTCTTTTCATTTACATTCTCAATTTCTTATATTTACTATCCTAGGACTTATAAGATCATTATTCCGTTAAAACGTTTTTTAAAAAAGCTTGCATTTTTTTTTTAGTACTGTGTTTTTTTTAGCTCTGTGTTACAGGCCGAGTTGCCACAAACTCCAGAATAGCTACCTAGATTTTGTCAGTCTGTTGATGAAGTATGTCTGGAAATTGGGTATCTGCACATTTTCTTTTTCAATGAATAATTGATGTTTACCCCTAAACATTCTTAATTTGCCCCAGGATACTAACTTGTCACCTTTACCTGTGAAGATATTTTGCAAAGATGGAGGGCACTGTACTGACATTTCAGAATTCATGATTAAAGAAGGCTTAGCACTTAGAAAAAGAAGGTATGTATTTTTAAAAAATGAAGTGAATGGTGGTTATTAGTTTTCAGTGTATTTAAAGTAGAAGTTATTTTCTTGTATTTCATAAAAATTAATGCTTTAATTTTATCTGTAATTCACACAATTATAAACCAACAGAAAAGTGTATAGTCTAACTTAAGAAGGTACAATGTTTAAGGGAAATAAATGTATTTGATTTTTTAAAATTTGCTGACATATGTTCTGTTGAATCCTAATTAGAGCACCTAAAATTGGTTCAAATCCAGCTTCCTCTGATAAACTACAAAAGAATGTGGACATAAACCAGCTGCTATCAGAAAAAAAAAGAGCACCAAGTCTTTCTAAGATAGAAAAGCATGTTGATCCTTCAGATATTGACAGTAAACAGCAAGAACTGGGAATTTCTGTGGCTGAGCCTCTAATGGTTGAGGCCTATAAACCACCAGCTCTCCCTAGCTCGGATTGCTTCAGTGCTACAGTTAGCTGTGTTTCAGATAATGGAACAATTTATGTGATTCCCAAGTCACAAGGTAAAACAAAAAATGCATTTCTGCAATTACGATAGGTGCTATATAATTGAGTAAGCCATTTCAGAGAAATATATATAGATGTAATAGGTGCTGTTATGGTCCATCAAGTCAAACCTGACTCTTCATGACAACAGAGACAAGTCTCTGCAGTTTTCTTTACAACGTTTTCGAAGTAGCTTCCCAGAACCTTTTTAGGATGGAAAGAGACAGTGACTAACCCAAGGTCTCCCAGCTGGCTTCTGTGCCAAAGGCAGGATTAGAACTCGTGGATTTTCAGCTTTTAATCCAGTACTTTAAGCACTAGGTCAGACTGTCTCTCTGTAATTAGAGTAGAGGCATTGATTTACAGTAACCCTGATCAATCATTCAACTGTACATGGCTGGATTTTTAAAAAATGTTTGGAGAGATTCTCATACCAAACATGTAAAGAATATTTACAAGTGTCTGGCTTCAAAGACTTATTGTGAGAAGTATTGACTTGCACACCTACATAGCCTCTATTTTTCATTTATTTGAGTGTAGAAAAAGGCTGTTTATTTTTGTTCTGCTGTTCATGCTTGCTGAGTTCCTGTTGAATTCAGTGGTCCCTGAATTCACTGATACTTCAGAAAGTGTTCTCAATAATAATAACATCAATAACAATAATAAATTAAATTTATATGCCACCCAACTTGCAGCGACTCTGGGTGGTTTACAAATTGTTAAAAACAAGGAAACAAACAAGAATAAAAATGGCAGAAATGACGAAACTGGATGGAAACAAAGAAAAAACAACCCCCACAATCTAAAGCGGGTTTCAGTCACCCTTGCCAAAGGCCTGGGCAAAAATACAATGTTTGTTACCTGAAATTCTGAACATATGTATGTTGCTTTATCTCTACCTCGCATATAATCAGAAGTATGCAAATATATTTGTCATGGTAGCGATAAATTAGGTGTAAAAATAGATATTGTGACTAGCAGTATCTGGATATTTCTGGATTGCTGCTGTTCTTTCTGTAGCACATAAGCCTGTGCTGGATTCTTTGCTGCCCATGCAGCACAGAGTCTTCTAGAAAACTAGACTATTTTGTTCATATATGCATATGTTATGTTTTAGCAGTAAAATATTTGCAGTTATGTACTGAGTTGTTAAAAGTACAGGTAACCCAGGTTAAGAACGCCCAGGTTACAGATGACTCACAGTTAGGAACGGAGCCTATTGTAGCAAAATTCAGGTTAAATACACAATGGTTCGAGTTAATTACACAATACTACTTATAAAGTATTATACAATAATACTGTTCCGGCTTACATATAAATTCGACTTAAAGACAGACTTGGGGATGGAACTCGTTCTTAAACTGGCAACTGCCTATACTGGAAAAAAGGAACGTTGCCAGTGATAATCAGATTGAGAGACCAAAATTGGAGAATATGCAGCAACGGCAAAATTGATAGTATACATCCATAATAGGAGTTGAGTCAAATTGAAGCAGGAATGGCTGGCTCCCTTACATACAAGACTTTACACACAGCAAGGCAAATTCATGCATTTCGAATATGATTTCTAGAAAAAAAGTTATGAGACCAATTAAAAATAACAGATGAAAGCATTTAAAAAGAAACTAGCAACAATCCTTAATGTTCAGTGTAAAGCAGACATATTTAAATTGCAGTTAGCAGCTGGGGACATGAAGGGAAGGGGACGATGTGTCACTAGAAAGTTTTTCCACAATGCTTTTTATTCATAGTTGGGGGGTTGTATCCTTTTTTTTCTTTTTCCTTTTGTATTGCATTATCTTAACGATAAGAAATATTTTTAAAAAAGAAATTGTTAAAAGTGACAGTAACTTTAAGACCACTTGCTTGGATTTTTTTCTTAGAGCAAAATCTAAACAAGTTAATGAGTAATATACAAGATAACGTCAAATGTTTAGGCCTTCTGGAACCCTACAGCTGGAAAAGTGGAGAAGCTTGTGTTGTAAGAGCAGCTGATACAATGTGGTACCGAGGTGAAATTAAAGATGTTGGCGCTGGCGTTATCAGGGTAAGATTGACGGTTTTAAGAAACACTCTGGTTTTTTACCTATGACTGCCACTGGTGTTTTTTTTCTTTTGTTCTGTTAAAATGAAGGTGATGTTATAAAGGTATGTTCCTTTGAGGACTGCACAGGGAGTACGATGCTTGAAAATATGGGATTTCTGCTATCTTATCTGAGGGATATTCAACAATAGGTTAACTTTACAAGGTGAACACATTTTTAAGAAGCATTATTTTTTTAGTGCCTCTTGCCTTACATTCAAATTGCTGAAAGGGTGAAGCATGATGCAGAAAAATGCCAAACTATCAATTGTTGCCCAGTTTAAAAACTAGTTCAACTGAACAAATCTTGGCTTGGCATCAAATGTGAACCAGTTGTTGTGTGACTTCTACTTTCCCAAACCATACGACAAGAAATGGGTTGGGCAGCTCTTTTGCATGTTTACTGGCATGCTTTTCAAAAAGAACAACATCATGAAAATGTAAATACTGATGTACTTTTTCTTGCACATTGTTTCTTTCATAGGTACATTACGTGGACTATGGATATATTGAGAAAATTCCTCAGTGCCATCTGTACCCCACTATTTTGTATGCTGATATACCTCCATTTTCCATACCATGTCAGCTCTATAAAACTGTACCAGTGAGTTAGATATTATGTTCTGAACACAGTGCCCGGCAATTGAAAAATGTGTACCTTTCAATCTAGGACAAGTAATAAAAAAGAAAATTATATTTTTAGTAAATTGTAGAAAGGTCTTTCACAAAGCAGTATATGAAAATGTACAAATCATTTACCCAAACGACGCAATGTAATTGCATCAATATTGTACTTCATGCCTCTGATCTGCAAGATTGGGCAGATCATCTTTCTTACCTTTTCAGTTTGAAACAACTGTTAGACATTTTAGAGTGATAAAATGTTTCAGGAATTCTAAGACTTTCCAGGGCTCAGTTTCCGTAGAAGTAAATTACTGGAAAGTGGTAGGCTTTACCTGCATACTAGCTGATGAAAGCTAGATGAAAGTGTTCAGTGCTAGCAGTCCAGCATTTTCCTGGCCCCCAGCTTATTTCTAGGGCAGTGCGGAGTACTAGTTGTTGTTTCCTTCTTTTTCCTTCTAGTTCCAGAACAAATTGCTTCTTGCTGCATATGCAGATACTGTTGCTGTCTCCCATTGTCTGTCTAGTAAAGTGAAGAATATTAAATCTCCTGGCCTGTCACATATACAGTGAAAGTAGCACTCTTGTGCATGTTTCCCTCTGTGTATATGGAGTGTTTTAATATTATCTGTGGGTGGTTGTTTTTTAATTCTATTAAGTGACCAGAGTACTTCTATAAGACTGCAAAGAGCTACCTCCAGTCTTGATTCCCTTGAATGCCTTGTGTGGAACCAGAGATTTTCTAATGAAGTAAAGTATAGCTGAAAGGCAGTGCTTTGTTTATAGCAGTCCCTACAACATACAGTACACAAAAATAAGGAAAGGACATGATTTTATTGTGAGGAAAGGGGAGATATGATTGAGAGAAGGAAACCGAAACCAAGAGTTCAGTGGAGAGAGATGGGTTTTGATCTGGGAGGAGAAGAAGCACAGAGATTAGGGCTCAAGTAGAGTGATCTATAACAGGAGAAGCAGGGAAGAAGTATGGATGCCTTGGCTCTTTGATGAATTATGCTTGTGTGAAAAAACAATTGATATGCTGAGGTGGTGGAATGAAAAATAATGATGTGAATGCGGAGATGTTACTGAAGAAAAGAATTAAAACTTTGTATTTTGAGGGCCAGATTCTACTTCTATCTCTTGGTAAGCTATTACTATGTAGCCTCAAAAGTTTTTCATTTCTGTATTTCACTTAGGTACTTCGTAACTAACCATAACCTGTAGGAGCCATTTTGTGATAGCATCCATGGCAGTGCTTTGAAACTCCAACTGGCTCCAAAAGTTGTTTTCCTATATTTGCCTTCTTGAGCCATCCTAGCACCAACTGAAACACATGATCAGAATTATTAGCAACTCTCCACTGCCTTTTTCAAGTCTTAAAGACTGTTACCTCAGTCTACTTATGCTAATCGATAGAAGCCTTAAGAGATAACAATTGGAATAGAAGATATTCTGTGGGACCATTTTGGCCAACCCAGTAGCTCATAACATGCTTGACAGTTCTTCTTTAGAAGAAAAAGTAAGATCACAACAGTCAGGGCTCAGATTCATAAGTACAGGGCTGACCTTTGGCTTAAAACATCTTGGTATGTAATGAAAAAAGTGCAGTTGTGCTTCTGGTTTTGAGTGGGCTAGAACTTGATCATTTTCTGCCTCTTGACAATTCTTTCTCCAGATTAGCTAGTCTTGTGAATGGAAGTTTTGGATCAATGGTTTTTCATAGCTGATAATTGATTGGTGTATTGTTCCTCTCTGATAATTTAGGTCGGCAACATTTGGCAGCAGGATGCAGTTGAACTGCTTCAAGAACTACTTACAAAAAGACCTGTTAAAATACATATAATGGTATGTCTAAACACTATATCCTTTATTCATTCTTTCATTCATATGCCACCCATTACCAAAGGCTCTGGGGGGCTTAAAGTAAAAACAAAAATAACCCCCTGGAGATTTGGATGGCCTGGACCTTGCTATTATTCTGGAAGGCCCTGGAAACCTGGCTGTTTCCTGAGCTGCTGGGACAGGACATGCTTTGTTTTCATATTGTGAGAGACTTTTGTAAGGGGGCCTCAACTATGCTTTTAATTGGTTATTGTTTTTCTATTATATTTTGGATTAATTTGTATTACTGTTAGGCCTCAGAGTTACTGGGTAAGATGGGGGGAATATAAATTTCCTCATATAAATAAAAGTTCAAGTTGTCAATCACATCATGCCTTTTTCTACACTTGACAATTTTAATTTATATCCTGAAACCCAATATGGAAAGAGCAGACCAGATCTCCTAGAGAGGGAGTTCCGAAGCAGCAGTCAAAAATGCCCACTTTTAAGGTTTCGTAAGATGGCATTTTCATATAGACAAGACTTGGAGGGAGTTGTGTTACACACGCTGCTCCCAGGTTCGGCTTATGGTCACTCTCTCACACACTCACAGCCTGTTGAGGTACACGGATCTTGTCAGCCCCCCTTGCTTTCTTCCTGGGTTTTCCAGATAGGTGCAGCTGGAGAAGACAGACACACAGCCCTGGTCAACAGCTGGGAAATAATTAGGGATACACACAAATCACTTCCAACTGAACACTGAGGCACAAGAGGTT